AAAAATATGCAAAATATATCAGAATACGTAGATATTTTGAATGTAATATTAATGTATATTGAATTAGAAGTACATCATTGTAGAAATGTTTGCAATGACTTGTCAAAATACAAGTTAGTCACTTCAACTAAATAAATTCTAAATGAATACAGAGAAAGTAGCTTGCTTTATATTTTATAGTGTTTCTGTATGTAACAAAATGATATTTAAAACATAGAAAATGGAAATTTATAATTAATTGAAAGATAGTATATGTAAAATGAATGTCATTGTTATTTGTAGGTGACAAGATGTCTGTTCCACTTAAACCTGAACACCTGGAGCAACTGAAAGTATTTGTTGACATGTGCATGAAAAATCCTGAAATATTACACCAATCAGAGCTCTCTTTTGTGAAGACTTTTATAGAACACTTTGGAGGACAAATACCGGAAGTTAAAAAAGATGAAACACCGAGCAAAGAACCAGAGCAACCGAAAGAACCAGAACCAGAAGCTGAACCAGAAAGCGAAGAAAGTGATTTAGAACTGGATATGTCTGAAGTTGTTGGTAAATATAATTTTGTTTTTAATCATATAAATTATGGAAATTAAAATTAATCTTATATTTATCAAAGTTTTGAAAATATAATAATTATATTACCTATTTTAGAACCAGACACAGATGCTCCACAAAGCATGGGTGATCCTACCTTACAACCAACAGAAGAAGATGTCACAGAGTCTCAAAATAAACGTGCAGAAGCTGTATCAGCAATCGCAGAAAAAGACTATGAGCGTGCAATAGAACTGTACACAAAAGCCATTGAGCTGAATCCCCAATCGTCTATGATTTATGCGAAACGTGGACAAGCATTTCTGCTGATGAATAAGCCTAATGCTTGTATACGTGACTGCAATCTTGCTTTGGAGTTGAATCCAGATAATGCAGCGGCTCATAAATTTAGAGGAAGAGCCTATCACTTGCTTGGAAAGTTCGAGGAAGCTGTCAGTGACCTAAGACTGGCATGTAAATTCGACTTTGACGAACAGGCTGATGAATGGTTGCGCAAAGTTACACCGAACGTAAGTACTTTTCTTTTACATATGTAGTGTGAATGGTATACACGAGTATATATAATTAATGATATTTGTTTCTCAACTATTAACAGTTCTTGACTTCACTTTCTAATTGATGCATTATGTTACTTCTTTTTTTCTTTTGTGAATAATTTGTATTTGGGTTCGAGATGTCACATTTACACAAATGAAAATCACAACACACATTCCTATTTGAAAAGTACATAAATTAAGTCTACTTGGCTTAAATACATAAAGTAACATTTACATAAAACAACAATTTATGTTCACTACTGAAGTAAATATTTTAATGTATTAAATGTACTTAATATATTTCTGTATTGAATGACAATAATAATGACGGTAATAATAGTAATATCAACGATCTGCGTAGTCGCAATAAGTCAATCACACGCGTGAGCATTAACAACACAATGCAAACTTGATAAGTAGTTTTCCAAGAGGCATTTTACTTATACGAGGTACATGAAAAGTCAAACGGTTTTACTAAATCAAAACGAGTATATTCATTTACATTGAAAGTATAGTTTGTGTGTATCAATGTGGGAACGTGTTATCGAGTAACTAGTAGTACCGCTTCTTCTATTCATTTTTTTTTTTCAAT